TCAAGTAATAAATATAATAAAAATAAAGATGACAGTACCAGCCTTTTGAGAAGTGGAAGAGGCCAAACTGCTACTGTACGGTAATCTATGTTGCAGCAGAGATATGCACAGAATGAGTGTGCAGTGGTATGTGTCCAGGAGTTGGGAAGGTGACAGGAAACAGCACACTCAAAGTAAGTGGATTTGGCAAGGGAATGGTATGTTCCATTCCAATAATGGTGAAAATTTCGGATAGCTAAGGACCAGAAGCATGGTTATGCGGGAGGGGAGGGGTAAAGAATGTGAAGAAGGCATGCAAGTCAATCTGAGAGAGGCAGACTGGAGTTGGATGGTGACAGCAACAGAACACCATGCAAAAGATGTGGACCTCAGAAGGGGCCAGATCGGCTAAGTCAAGCAGTGGAAGGAAGTGAAGACAGTAGGGGTCAGTTTGTGCCTGTCTCTGGCAAAGCGAGTCCTCCCTGCCCGGCTCTTGTTCATCGCTGCATGGAAGAATGCAGGCCCAATATGTACAGGTATTCTGATTTGCAAAAGCAAGCCTGAGATCCAAATTTTAACATAAACTTCCCAAATTTTAAATATCTGCAGATAACTAAAAAATAACCTATGAGCCCAGCAAAATAGCTCAACACAGATCTGAGTTCACTGCACAGGCAAGAAGTCACTGAAGTTTGTAATAAAACTTAAAATCCTTAGTAAAACCCTGAAGTCTTATTATCTATGAGTAATCATATGCAGTTAGAAAGGGAAAGCATGTCAAATCTACCTTCTTTCCACATTGCAGTCCTATTTAAACTTTACTTTTTTTTACATTGCAGTTTACAAGTACACTTCATAATGATTACTAAATATATAACATCTTCCCTAAGATTCTTTTTCACATATTCCACCAGAGTTCACCAATTGAACTTCCTATTTTCTCTGTACCATTTCAAGAAACTAACCTCGAGGTTAAAATAAGAAATCATCCATTTGTAGCGCACACACAGACTAACTTTTGCAATGTTAAAATAATTACTTGGGAGGACACGAGACTGAAGCAGCTAGCTCTAGCACCCTGAGTTTCTCTGTAAACAAACAGAAAACCACTCAGTTCAGGATCATTGTCTCCCTGAAGACCCAGTATAAACTTACCCAATCAGAAACCACCAATGAACCTCTAAATGGGGACATTACAGTCACTGTTCCAACTGGAACCAATCAAATATTTTCTGTCTTGCTTCTTCAAACACCTTATAAAAATGTCCGCCTTGATTTGTCCAGCAGAACCCAAATGGCTTGCGATCTGGTGATGCCCGATTCTTCACTGTTTGCTCAAAGAAATGGTGTTGCAGGAGATGGAAATGCTAATTACCCTCATGTAACGGTCACACAACATTATATATGCACATCAATGATCACACTGTATACCACAAATATGTGCAATTATTATGCCAACTAGAATGAACAAAAGACTTAAAAATTTTGTCTCAGTTTACCTTTTAACAAGTACATCTAACTAATAAGTTAAGATTTTCCCAAGAGCCTCTGAAACCTTTAACACTACCTTTAGCAACCTGAACAGGTCCAAGAGAAATATTTCTGTGATAGAAAAAAAATCCTGTGTGTAGCAACTGGGAGCACAGGATGTGAGAAACTGTAGAGCGATGGGTCACATTCTGTTTGGTGGACCCACGGCCACTAAGGCAGCAGTGACAGCACCACATGATGTGACTAAGATGAACTGCCTCCTTCGCTGCTCTTCCCCAGCCTCAGGTATCCTAAGGACTTACCTGCATCACCGTGCACCTGACACTCTTCAAATGGGCTGCTGAGGCACTCTGCTCAGGAATTAATCAAGGTTGAGAAGTCACTGCAGGGGTAGAGGAGGAAAAAACCTGCAACTTAGTGCTTGTTTTCACATACTCATATTTGAAATAGATGCTGTGTGCCTACTACAAACTGGGCCCTGTTCTAGGTCCAGGAATCCATCAATGACTGATGAGCAGAGTTCCTGCCTTCCACATTTGTGTGAACTAGTAAATACGAGGAGACTTCAAAAGTTCATGAAAAAATGAAACTACGGTTTATTTTTGGTGCCCCAAACTTTGAAATACATGCATAGTTTTTTCATAATATGCATCTTCCATGAATTCTCTGATGACCTGCCAGGTCAGACCTACGAATTCTTTGATGATCATATGTCAGATGGTAACGAGTGCACTAGACATTGAAAGTTGGTCGGGGCACAGGGGCTGTGTGGACGGCTACTGTTTGTCACAGAGTACAGAGTGTAAAGGCCAAATGTTTTGAGGGATGCCTGAGGGCAGGGTGTTCCAGGCAGAGATGCCCTCAGAAGATCAAAGGGAAGCAAAGAGAACCCCATGTCCAGAGGGCAGTATGGTGACCTCAGTGGGAGGAGTGAGGATACCACGGGGGAGAGGGGACCCAGGGGACAGGTGTCACAACTTGTTTTCCTGAGATGGGAAGCTTTGCAGGGTTTTGAGCTGAAGAACCCAAGTGCTGTGATGCAGGCTTTTCAGGAACCACTCTGGCTCGCTAGGCAATGGTGACAACAGGGAGACCAGTTGGGTGACAGCTGCAGTCACCAGGCCAGAGACAGATGTGGCTTGGTTGGGCTGTAGGATCTGGAGGTGGCGAGGAGTGGCCCACTGTTCCATACACTGTGATGTGCTACAGGAGGAACCGTGGGGCATGAGAGAGACGAGTGAAGGATGACTCCAGATCTTCAGCTTGAGAGCCGGGCTGGAAGGCGACATTTGACTGAGACCAGAAATACAAGCCAAAGAACTACTGGGGCTGGACAGAGGGCAACCTCATTGGGTCTGGATGTATTTGGAAATGCCTCTTGGGCTTCCTGGTGGAAATGCTGATCAGGTGGTCACACACTGCATTTAGGAAAGAAAGGGGCTGGGATCTGATGAAAATCAAGGAGGCTCTTCAAAAGTTACAAAACAGTAGATAAAATAGAGGGGGGATTACCAAGTGATCCTCTTGGAAAAGCTTCCGGCCATTTTAATTTATATCACTAATTTATATCACTTAGAGCTCCTGATGACTGTAAAAGTTATGTGGCAACATCATGTTGTAAGGGTGAAGGCACTATCAGTGTTGCTAAAGTGCGGGCCTCAGGCCAGGAGCATCAACATCACCTATGAGCTTGTCAGAAAGGCGAGTTATGGGCCCCACCCGACCAAATGAGTCATAAACTCTACAGATAAGGCCCAGGAAACTGTTTGGACAAGCTCTCTAGGAGATTGCTATACACATTAAAGATTGAGTGACCTAGTTGATAAGAAGTTTAGTATTTCCAGGTTTTAAACATTTTAAAAGAAAAGGAACAGCTTTTTTTTTTTAAAGGAAAAATGTCTTTATTGTTTGAAGCATAAAAAAGAGTAAAGAAAAGTTGGTATGATATTTCATTTATGGGTTTTCTCAATGAGGTTATAAAAATACAATGCCACTTAGACTTTACAAGCTCTTGAAAATGTCTAGAAGTTCACCCTTAGTATAAAAAGGCACTTACAACATACAATGAAATGATAAAAAAAAAAAAAAACCCTCATAGGGACAATTGAAATTACTTGGAGAAAAGCTTCTAAACATACACTCCCACATAAATTATATTTCATTTTTTCTTCTTTTCCAACACATAGACAGCATTTTCCCCAGTTACTCGTGGATGTCATAAAGGTGGAGTGCCTGCTCCTACCTTTGTTCTTAATATGACTTACTAGAAAATCAAGTAAAATTAACCTGCCTGCTTTGTTTTTCACTTTAATCTGAGTTTTGTTTAAGATAGAACAAATTTCTTAATTTGTAACCAAGATCTTCTAGAATGCCTGGCTCATTTGCTTCCAACTGTTTCAAATCACAATTCATTAAAAAAAGGGGGGGTAAGGATAAGGGGGGAGAATAAGGAAAAGTGGCCTTATTTTAAAGGTACCTATTGCCCAGCAGCCAAAAATCACACTAAGCAACAATATTTCTGAAGCATGTTTACACACGTGTGAATATTTTACACTATACCTGTGTTGCATCACTCTGGCTTTTGTGCATCTGAAATCACACTAGAGTAATCACACTACATAACCTGAGAGCACAGGCTCAGCACAATCCAAGTCACATGGGACTTCATCTGTCACAGAAAGGATACGGCTGCTTCCTGTGCTCCAAACTCTTCATTTTCCTTAAGGTTGGCAGCAGGATGTTGACAACGTACCCCCACAAACTGAACAAAAACCCACTGTCATGTACGTGCTGTTGCTGATTAAAATAATCATATTCTTGCTGTGGCAATTCTGTGGTCTGGGAGTTTTTAATTAGCTCCGCTTTTCAAGGCATGAGTAAGAGTATAATTTTTTCTTTCTTGAATTGGAAGGTATCTGAGTCAGATCAGTAACTCCTTCTCTGCACATAGGATACTGTTTTAGAAGTAAGTGAATCACTTCACCCGGAGGGCATGTGAACTATAGAAATACGTGAATTACTTTAAGAAACTGCTTGGGCCGGTGCCATGGCTCACTAGGCTAATCCTCCGCCTTGCGGTGCTGGCACACCGGGTTCTAGTCCCGGTTGGGGCGCCGGATTCTGTCCTGGTTGCCCCTCTTCCAGGCCAGCTCTCTGCTGTGGCCAGGGAGTGCAGTGGAGGATGGCCCAAGTGCTTGGGCCCTGCACCCCATGGGAGACCAGGAGAAGCACCTGGCTCCTGCCATCAGATCAGCGTGGTACGCTGCCGCAGCGTACTGGCCGCGGCGGCCATTGGAGGGTGAACCAACAGCAAAAGGAAGACCTTTCTCTCTGTCTCTCTCTCTCACTGTCCACTCTGCCTGTCAAAGAAATCTAAGAAACAAGAAAAGAAGAAAAAAAAAAAGAAACTGCTTGAACATGGTAAATCTGAAATACATCAACAATGGAATCCAGAGATTTGGCGACTTTCCGGGCAGGATTTGGACTATAAATGAAAACTGATATTTAAAATAATATGGGAAAATATAGAGTCACTTGAATGCTTATCACTTTATTACTGCAATCATAAATGCTAGTGATTTAGTCATTGACACTGATTTGTGTTTAAATTAGGCTTTAAATATTCCTTTTTGGCCTTTTGCTCTGCTGCTCACCCTTTAAGAAATGCCATGACAAAGAGCGCATGATCGTGCCTCGTGGAGCACCTTGTGCTGCCTTCCTGAGTATATGGATTTGTGTTCACTCTTAGTGCCTCTGCTGGCACTTCCCTAATTCAGCTTTTCTGTTGGATAGCACTGAAAAGCTTTTGCTGATTTTCCAGGCAGTCTTTCAGCTTATCCTCGGTCAAAGTGAGTCGCTGCTCCAAGATTGATACGGTCTGCAAAAGGGAGGATGAGAAATCAGTGATGGTGACCTGGTGGGGAGGTTACATGGATGCTCATCTCTGCACAGGAGATCCTTTCTAGAACTGGGCCACCCACCCTTTTGCCGAGAAGATGGCACAGAAATGAGCCTCAGGACCGGCTGTGCTTCTGGGCCCTACCACAGGGCAAAGCACTCTTCCTCAAGCTGTCTGAAGGAAAGAAAAAAAAATTTGAGGAAGAAGGAGTAAAAGATCAGACCTCTGCGGACAATTCCCGTGTCTGATCTTCCAAGGCACCAAGCTCAGGTATAGGCCACATGCAGCATTTGAAGTGGTACCATAAGCTATGAAGTACTGTGGCGAGGTAGGGGTGAAATGCCACATGCCTGGCCCAAGCTCAACTGAAATGGCATCACTGCTCACTCTGTCACAATCCAGCCATGGTGAACCATTCCTAGAGCAGCCCAGACAGATGAGTGGCCAGATTACTTCGAAAATATCATACTTGGTTGCCACCAGTTCCAGAAGATGGTAACATCTCAGAGGACTTGAGAAAATCGAAATGATATGTGGAAAATGCTTAAGCTAGTGGTAGGCATTTGGCATAGGGGTTCCACATCAGAGTTTTGAAGTTTAAGTCCCATCTCTGGCTCCTGGCTTTAGCTTCCTGTTAATGCACACCCTGGGAAGCAATGGTGATGGGCTCAAATAAGTGAGATTCTGCCACCCAGGTGGGAGACTGGGATTGAGTTCCTGGCTGCCACCATCCTCCTGGCCCAGTTTTAGTCATTGCGGGCATTTGGGGAGTATATCAACATATGGAAGTTCTCTTTTCTTGTCCAGCTTAATCAATCAATCAAGAAATATTTTTAAAGGAAAACAGTTAATGATGGGCATACAGGACTTGATACCTGATTACATATACTCATCTAATAGCTGGAATAAACACTAAATACATACATACCTAAATACAAGGATACTTGGAAAAGTTCATGGCAAATGAAATTAAAAGTTCAGTTTATTTGGGTGGAAAAATTTTAAATCCAGGGATGCTGCACGGTGGCTAGCAGATTAGGTCACCACCTGCAGCACCAGCATCCCATGTGGGCACTGGCTTGAGTCTCAGCTGCTCCGATTCTGATCCAGCACCCTGCTAAAGTGCCTGGGAAAGCGGCAGAGGATGGTCCAAGTGCTTAGGTCCCTGCATCCAAATAGGAGACCCGGATGAAACTTCTGGCTCCTGGCTTCGGCTTGGCCCAGGCCCAGCTGTTGGGGCCATTTGGAAAGTAAACCAGCAGATGGAAGATCTCTCTCTCTCTATGCCTCTCCCCCTCTCTCTATAACTCTGCCTTGCAAATAAATAAATAAATCTTTTTAAAAAAGTTTAAAAATGTTTAAGTCCATAGTTTTCTCATAATACATATTTTCCACAACTTTTTGAAGCCTCTTTGTACATACACACATATGTAAATTTGGGAAATCAGATGTTTTATGAAATTGACTGTTTTGCCTTCAGTTTTGTCTTCTTTTTAAAAAACCCATTCAATATATAATAAAAGAGAATATTCAGGAGGCCATACAAGACACATAAGTCACTTAATGAATTCTCACAAGAAAAACACCCTCATAACTATCACCACAGAATTAGAACTTTCTCAGTCACCCCAGAGCCTCCCACATGCCTATCACAGTCACCCCCCTCCTCCTCCCGTAACCCTCACTGTCCTGACTTTCACAGTAACCACTTCCTTGTGTTTCTTTATGGTTTGATTTCTTAGATGAACATCCATGGACACCAACATTTCTCTTTCCCATTTTTTAAGGATCTGAAATGTCATTTTTAATCTACAGGTATCCTCCTCCTTCCTTTCTTGTCCTGACAATTTGTCTACTGATAAGGTCAGGCCAAGTGACCTGAGAGGTCTCCACCAGTCTGGATTTTAGGGACTTCATGCTCAGCCCTGATTTTTCAGTCTTGGTAAATTCTGTAAATTGGCAGCTAGATCCAAAGTCTTGATCAGATTATATCCCCTGGTAAGAAATATAGGTGGTAGACAGTCTATCCTTTCATTAGAGTACAAAATAATGTTTGGTTGTTTTTCTTTTAGTGATGATAAAGTAACTACTTAATGCCCAGATCTTATGGATTACAAATGACAAGATATAATTCTATCATTTAAAAATATTTATTAGTCAGTATAATTTATAATTAAGAAACACTTCTCTCATCTACTATTTGGCTATGCAGAGGTGGAGTTCACATAGGAAAAATAAGATAAATACTTGGTTATTTTTGTCAAAAAGTTTTAAGATAACAAATTATTCTTTTTTTTTTTTTTTTTTTTTTTGGACAGGCAGAGTGGACAGTGAGAGAGACAGAGAGAAAGGTCTTCCTTTGCCGTTGGGTCACCCTCCAATGGCCGCCGCGGCTGGCCGCAGTGGAGGATTAACCTATTGAGCCACAACGCCGGCCTTTTTCCTTTTTTTTTTTTTTTTTTTTAAGATAACAAATTATTCTCTATCATCCTCTGAAGGTAATTAGTTTTCTAAAATGTCATTTAATAGCTTTTGTTTTCATATTCTATAGTATGGACCATGACTAATTTTTTTTTTGACAGGCAGAGTTAGACAGTGAGAGAGAGAGAGAGAGACAGAAAGTCTTCCTTCCATTGGTTCACCCCCCCAAATGGCCATTACGGCCGGCGCGCTGCACTGATCCCAAGCCAGGAGCCAGGTGCTTCCTCCTGGTCTCCCATGAGGGTGCAGGGCTCAAGCACTTGGGCCATCCTCCACTGCCTTCCCGGGCCACAGCAGAGAACTGGACTGGAAAAGGAGCAACCGGGACAGAACCGGCACCCCAATCGGGACTAGAACCCGGTGTGCCGGTGCCACAGGCGGAGGATTAGCCTAGTGAGCCATGGCACCAGCTGGACCGTGACTAATTAAAAATAAGTTTGGCTACGTGATGCAGCAGGTTAAGCCACGGCCTGCAGGGCCAGCATCCCATTCAGATCCAGCTCCTTGCTAATGCACCTGAGAAAGCAGTGCATTGGCCCAAGTGTTTGGGCCCCTGCAACCACATGGGAAACCCAGATGAAGCTCTTTGTTCCTGGCTTCGGCCTGCCCCAACCTTGGCTGTTGTGGCCATTCGGAGAGAGAAGCAGCAGATAGAATATCTTTCTCTCTGCTTTGCCCCTCACTCCCTCTCATTAACTCTGCCTTTCAAATAAGTAAATAAATCTTTAAAAGAGATAAGTGATGCCAATAATACTTTCTACCATTTGTTGTGTGCTTCCTATTTGTGCCAATACATTTTGCCAACTTTACACATTTTATTACAATTTCATGTGCTAAAGTTGTTGATACACATACAAAGGCACTTAAGCATTCATGGAAAAATGGAATTATGTTTATTTTGGTGTGAAAATTTTAAAAAATAGTTTTATCATACACATTTTCCACAGGTTTTGAAGTACCCTCTTACATGTGCCAATGACTTCAACACTGGCTAGGTCCATTTATCTACCATCTAAAATGTAATTTCATTTTAATTTGCTTTTAATTATAGTTTAGCAGAGATATAAACACACTGCAGCTTAGTTAGGTGATGTGAAGTCATCTGCAATTAAAGTGAATCAGAATGAATTTGGCATACTCAACACTGCAAAGACTCACTGTTCCGCTTCTGCTGTGTCTACTTTTAACTTCTTCAATAAGTAAAAGAAATCCAGCCCTTCACAATTAAGAATAAAGAAATTTAATAAAGCTTAAAGTGATTTACTTAACCTTGCATTCAAGAAAAAGAAGGAGAAATGGATCATGAAGCTCAAGGAGCGAGAAATGGAAGATCCATGTAGGTGAAAGCCTAATGAGAACCCAACATTGAAAGATGGCTTAAGTTAGAAAATCACAGCAATGTGGAAAACAACTAAAAATAAAGTTGTCATTAAGCTGAGAGGGCAACGGCCTTTAATGTTAAGAAATGTCTAATAAATACAAGAGGAAGTCACATCCAGCACAGTATTACAAAGTAAAAATAAGTTATTTTAATTATTTTCATTGAGCAAACCCTAGAATGACTTCAAGTTCTTGCACGGCTCTTTCCCATCTGTCAACAACTCAAAATCACACACATGGGAGAGGTGTTTAGTCTAGGGATTAAGATACCCACGTTCTATATTGGAGCGCCTGGGTTCAATGCCTGGCTCTGGCTCCTAACTCCAGCTTCCTGCCAATATAGACTGTAAGAGGCAATACCTACAGCTCAAGAAACTGGGTTCCTGCTACCCACATGAGAGACCTGGATTGAGTTCTCAGTTTCCAGCTTGAGGCATGGCTCAGCCCTAGCAGACATGAGCATTTAGGGAGTGAACCAGTGGATGGGAGCTCTGTTTTTCTTTCCCTGTCTCTCAAGTAAATAAATTTTTAAAAATTATTTTTGAATAGAATACACATGACTCCAAAAGCTCCCTCAGATACTATCCACAGTATAAAAATACTCATTCAATTAATGGTTCTCAATACTGGCTGTAAAACAGAATCATATGAAAAGAATAATGTGATGGCCTTATTCCAGACCAATGGAAATGGACTGTCAGGAAGTGAGAAATAGTGAGAATTTGTATAGTTTTTTATAAAAGATTTATTTATTTATTTGAGAAGCAGAGTTACAGACATGTGTACAGTTTTTAGCTGCCCTGATGAATATAATACACAGCTCTGTAAGAGCTATTTCAACCTGAAATATTTACCCTGGAGGAGTAATTGACATCTTTCTTGATCACATTCCAACCTTTCTGTATAACTTGTGACAATGTCCACTTTGACAAATATTAGTATCCTCACTGAATACATCAAAAGAGAAAAACAGAAGATTTCTTTAAAGGAACCAATGAGTCATTAGAGCTAGAAGGGAAACCTTTGGCATATTCATTTCAACACACCACTTCCTTTACCAAGAGTTGGAAGAATTTTGAGATTATTAAAGATCTACTGCGTTTTTAATTTGCAAAGGTAAGTTAGTCTCAAATAAATGGGAAATATTCTAAAATGGGAATGCAAAACAATCAACTCTAGAAACATCCATGTAAGAAGCTTTTGTGTAATGTAAGATATATATTGAAGTGAAAATATTTTCAGAGTATAGAACTATAAACACTAACGATTTTTCATACTAACCAGAAATGGTCACTCTCAATTCATTTTTCATATGGCCCTAAATATTTCTTTATGAATGGCATAATCAGAACCAAATTAAATTTATAGCATGGAGTACTACCGGTTAGCCCACACTGCTCCCCTCTGGCTCCTGAATGCCAGAGTTGGCACAGTGTGTGTGTGTGTGTGTGTGTGTACATTCATGCACACATGCACAAGGGCTCTGAGCTTATTTCCATGGCATCATGGAGCAGCTCAGTCCAGCATGCTTTGCTATAGGATCACTACCTTGCTAGGAAAGAAAAATCTTCCCCTGCTCTGCTAGCTCTGCAACTGGCTGGAACTAGGACTCTCTTGTGTATCTCACCCCCACGTGCAAAGCAGGCCAACCTACCTGTGTCAAAACATGGAGCTGTTCCATAATATGCTCCAAAGCGTCAGTCACTGCAAGTGGAATGCTTCTCTGACTCTCAGAGGGGAAGTCACTCATGTCTTCTGTTTTCTTTTTCATTGTTGTTGGTGAACATTCTGGTGACATTAAGGAAGGGTTCAAGAAATACCCACAGATCTCTTCACCCTTTTCTGGTGGAGTTTTACCAATGGTCTCTGTGGTCTTCAATATAAAAAAAAAGTAGGAAGAGTGATATTTTCCAAATTTTAAAATTATATATATATATGTATATGTATATATAACAGTTTTAAATAATCTTGATCTAAAAAGCTCAGCCTTATACTTAATTATTTATCTTCAACTTAAACAAATTATTCAAATCACAATTACAGGAAAGAAACAAAGCTAACAGTAAAAAAAGAAAATCTACATTTTTCTTTTCAATGAAATACACTGCACTACATAGTGAGGGATCAGGTGTTCTACCATTAAAAGGACTGCTGTATGTAGTTTAATTCTTAATTTAAAAACAAACATTCCTGTCCACTAGGACTATTGTAAAAAATGGAAAAGTACTAAGTGTTGGTGAGAATATGGAGAAATTGAGCTTTTTGCTGACAGGAATGTAAAATGGTGCAGTTGCTGTGAAAAATAGTTTGTCAATTCCTTAAAATGTTAACCACAGAATTACGAAAAGATGCAACAATTCCACTCCTAAGTATATATTCAAAAGAACTGAAAACAGGGAATCAGATATTTGTACACCAATGTTCAACATTATTCCCAATAGCCAAAAGGTGGCAACGACTCAAGTATCCATGACTAGATAAATCTATAAACAAAATATGGTATAAATATATAATTGAATGTTATTCAGCCACAAAAAGGAATGGATTTTGATACAAGCTATAACATGTATAATAAACCTTGAAAACATTATCATATTAAGCTTGTGATTACAAAATAAATTAGAAAGTATATCATTGCAAAAATTAAAAGCAAAATAATAAAGGAAGGAAGAAGGTGGGTGGTAGCCAGTTAGGGAGGGACAATAGAATGGAAGGCATCATTACGTTCTTGAACTGTATATATGAAACACATGAAATTTGTTTTCTTTATATATATATAAAAAAAAAGAAAACATCACCTAAGTGAAACAAGCCATTAAAAAAAAGGACCAACATTGCATCATTCCATTTATATGCGGCACCTAGAATAGGAGAATTCAGAGATACAAAGGAGAGCAAATGTTTAGGGACTTGTGGGAAGGGTAATGAGGAATTACTGCTTAACGGACATAGAGTTTCTATGTGGAATGATGAAAAATTCAGGATGCAGTGGTGAATGCACTTAATGGCAGTGGTTAAAATGGTAAACTCACCACAATAAAAATACTCTCCATATACGTGGCAACGAAAATGAAATTTTTAAATTCTACTTTCATTAGCATTAAAAATAAAATACTTAGGAATAAATCTAATAAACGAAGTGCAAAAATTTTACACTAAGAACTACAAACCATCACTGGAAGAAATTAATCTAAACAGTAGAAAGACATCCTATGTCCTATGTTCACAGATCAGAAAAGTTAATAATGTTAAGATAACAGCATTCCCTACACCAATATACAGATTCAATACAATCCCTACCAAAATCTTAGATGCCTTTTTTCCATAGAAATTGACAAGCTGATTCTAATATTTACATGGAACTGCAATGAACCCAGAACAGCTACAATAATATTTAAAAAAAAGGCAGCACATTCATACTTCCTAATTTCAAAGCTTACAACAAAACTATAGTAATCAAGCAAGACAATGTGCTGCTTCATGGCTTAGTGGGTTAAGCTGCTGCCTGTGAAGTCAGCATCCCATGCAGACACTGGTTCGAGTCCTGGCTGCTCCACTTACAACCCAGCTCTCTGTTAATGGTCTGGGAAAATGGCCTAAGTGTTTGGGCCCCTGCCACCTATGTGGTAGACCCAGAAGAGGCTCCTGGCTTTGGCTGGCCATTGTGGCCAAATGGGGAGTGAACCAGTGGATGGAAGATTCTCTCTGTCCTTCTCTATTTTTCTGTGTAACTCTGACTTTCAAATAAATAAAATAATAATACAAAAAAGGACAATGTGACACTAGCATAAGGATAGAAATAGATCAATGTAAGTAATGTAAGTCAAGAAACCCAGGGCCGGTGCTGTGGCATAGCAGGTAAAGCCACTGCCTGCAGTGCTGGCATCCTATATGGGCACTGGTTCAAGTCCCAGTTGCTCTACTTCCAATCCAGCTCTCTGCTATGGTCTGGGAAAACAGTAGAGGATGGCCCAAGTCCTTGGGCTCCTGCACCTGCAGGGGAGACTGGGAAGAAGCTCCTGGCTCCTGGCTTCAAATCAGCACAGCTCCAGCCATTGCAGCCATCTGGGGGAGTGAGCCAGCAGATGGAAGACCTCTCTCTCTGCCTCTGCCTTTGCCTCTCTATAACTCTTTCAAATGAATAAATAAATCTTTTTTTAAAAGAAATAAACCCTAACTTTTATAGTCAACTGATGTTTGACAAGCTTGCCCTGATAATTTAATGGGCAAAGAATAGTCTACTCAACAAGTGGTGCTGGGAACACCATATATCCACATTTAAAAGAATCAGTATAGTGCCCTCTCTTATATCAGACACAAAACTAACTCAAAACAGGACATAATCTTAAATGTAAGAGCTAAAACTATAAAATGTTAGAAGAAAACATCAGAATAAATCTTCCTGACCCTTGATTAGACACAGCTTTCTTAAACATAACAGCAGAAGTACAGATTATAAAATAACAAATTGGACTTTATCAAAAGATACAATGAAGGAAGTAAAATAGCTGCAAATTTGGTATAGTGGGTAAAGCTTCTGTCTCCGGCACCACCATCCTAAATGGTTGCAGGTTCAAATCTGGGCTGCTGCTCCACTTTTTTTTTTTTTTTTAATTTTTTGACAGCCAGAGTGGACAGTGACAGAGACAGAGAGAAAGGTCTTCCTTTGCCGTTGGTTCACCCTCCAATGGCCGCCGTGGCCGGCGCGCTGCAGCCAGCGCACCGAGCTGATCCGATGGCAGGAGCCAGGTACTTCTCCTGGTCTCCCATGGGGTGCAGGGCCCAAGCACTTGGGCCATCCTCCACTGCACTCCCGGGCCACAGCAGAGAGCTGGCCTGGAAGAGGGGCAACTGGGACAGAATCCGGCGCCCCGACCGGGACTAGAACCCAGTGTGCCGGCGCCGCAAGGCGGAGGATTAGCCTAGTGAGCCACGGCGCCGGCTGCTCCACTTCTGATCCAGCTAATGCACACGGGAAAGCAGTGGAGGATGGCCCAAGTAGGTGGGCCCCTGCACCTGCATGGGAGACCAGAAAGAAGCTCCTGGCTCCTGGCTTTGGACCATCCCAGCTCTGGCCTTTGCAGCCATTTGGGGAGTGAACCAGTGGATGAAAGACCTCTCTCTTTCTCTCTAACTCTGCCTTTCAAATAAATAAATAAGTCTTAAATAAAAAAAAGTAAAGCATAAGTCCTGGAATGGAAGAAAATACTGTAAAGTCATACATTTGATAAGGAACTTGTATGCAGACATCTAAAAAATTCTTACAACTCAGTATAAAAAGACAACCCAATTAAAAACAGGCAAAGGATTACAATAAGCATTTCTCCAAAGAAGATACACAAATGGTCATTAGCCACAAAGAAAATGCAAATCAAAACCACAATGAAATACCACTTCATACGCACTAGGATAACTAAATTAAAAAAGACAGTGGTAGGCACTGTGGCACAGGGGGTCAACTGGGCTGCCACTTGGGACAACTACCAAGTTCGAGTTCTGGCTATTCTGCTTCTTTTCTAGCTTTCTGTTAATGTGCCTGAGAAGGAAGGGAAGATGATCAAAGTTCTTGGGTCACTGCTGTCCATAATGGAGTTCCTGGCTCCTGGCTGCGGCCTGGCCCAGGTCCAGCTGTTGCAGTTATTTGGGAAGTGAACCAGTGGAAGGTAGCTTTCTCTCTCACTATCTCTCTCTCTCCTTCTCTCTGCCTTTCAAGTAGATGAAAAACAAATTAATAAGCAGTTTTTATAAAAAGGCAGGCAATAACAAGTTGACAAGTCTTCTGGTAGGCATTGTAGTACAGCAAGTTAAGCTACTGCTTGGGACACACCTGCATCCCATATCAGAGCGCTGGTATGAATCCCAGTTACTCTGCTTCCAATCCAGCTTCCTGTTAATGTGCAGCCTGGAGGGCAGCTGATGGGCAGCTCATGTACTTGAGTCCCAGCCACCAATATGGAAGAAGTGGATGGAGTTCGGGGCTCCTGGCTTTGGCTTGGCCCAGTCATGGCTATTTAACATTTAAATTTTTTTTAAATGACAAGTTTTAGAGTGTTGGGAAACTGGAACCCTCACATAATGATGGTGGGATTGTAAAATGAAGACTTCAAGATGGCAGAACAGGGAAAAGGCGTACTGCTCTAGGCTAGGGGAAAATAGTAACAACAACAACAAAAGGCGAGGGTGGGGAGAAAGTACATTTTCAGGGAAGAGTCAGAGAGAAAACTGCAGTGGAGAATCTACAACCTCTGTCAACCCAGAATACTGCTTCTGTAAAGCTCTCATTTGTGAATGAAGGTGAAATAAAGACCTTCCAAAACAAATAGGAATTGGAAGAATTTGTCACCACTCATTCAGCCTTACAAAATATGCTTAAAGATATAATACACACAGAAACACAGAAAGATAGTCATCATTATGAAACAATGTGAAGGCAGAAAATCTCCCAGTAAAAGTACAAAGGAATACAAAGCAAACACTAGGAATATTTATGGAAAAATGACAGGGCCAAGTCATTACTTATCATATAGTAAACTTGAATGTAAATAGCCTAAATTCTGTAATTAACTGACACAGACTGGCTGAATGGATTAAAAAACAAGACCCATCTATCTGCTGCCTACAAGAACATACCTCACCAACAAAGATACATGCAAATTGAAAGTTAAAGGATGTACAAAGATATTCCATGCTAACAGAAAGATAAAAAGAACAGGTGTTACAATCCTAATATCAGACAAAATAGACTTTAACATAAACTGTTAAAAGAGATGAAGAAGAGTACTATGTAATGATTAAGGGATCAATTCAACAGGAAGATGTGACTAAAATAAAGGTGTATGCATGCGCCCAATTGCAGGGCACTCGGCTACTTAA